ATTTGACCTTTTGATCAGATCCACTACTTGGCTCATATGCTAAATTTAGAGGTACTGTGAGGATACAGGGACAAAGTTCATAGCACAAGGCACCATCAGCACAGCCAGGAAGACAGGTGTCTTAACTGGAGCTTTTTTTTTTTTCCCCCTTTTTTCCACTTTGAGAAGTCCTACACCTTCAAAGCAAAAGCCAAGCACCTAAGAAGGATGGGTATACATGTCAAGACAGCTTGCCTAAGAAAGCAGCTGAGAATAACTCTATAGCCAACAGGGCCAAAGACTCTTTAGGTCTTTTACTTCCCCAAGAAAACTAATTTACAGTCAAATAAGCCATGAATTTTACTTCCTTCCAACTACAGGAACTGCTTTTGTCTCTTCACAATATCATTTTAACTGATCAAAATGGTTCTACTGCGTAACAGACAGCTTTTGTGCACTAAGAATGTTGCTATGTAGATTCCCTGTATGTCACTATCTGGTTCCTGCTTGTCACCGATGGATTGAAAAACACTGCATTAGCTTTTATTGCACACTCCTCATGTACAAGATTAAACTAAAACAAGACAAGGCTCCGATGACTCCACAGAAATCGATTAATTGCATCTTATCTTAAAGGAAAGCCTCATGTTATTTAAGCAAACATAAGTATTTGATTACTGCACAGACTTTGGACTTTGTCACACCCTAACCACTGCCTTATGGAACTACAGGGCAGAGCTTCAGCGCCTTGTAGAAGAGGTCAAGCTTATGTTTAGGTACTGACAAAGAAAAAATACCAGCTAGCACCTTTCCAGAGTCTTAGAGCATCAGTGGGTGTCACTTGCCTACCACATAACCCTGTGTCAGTGTGCAGTATTAAAGCTCAAGGGAATAAGCTGAATAAACACACTGCAAAGAACATGCTCAGTAGTTGACAGAATGCTACTCGCATCAAACCACAAATAGCCAAGTGAGCTAATACAAACTGCATTACAGACTAAACACCACTGAAGAGGTCTGCTCTATTCCTTCACTGTATTTTGAAATACACCATTATACTGTTAAAGCCTCATTTACCCTCAGATGCAAAACCCTCCATCCCCACACAGTCACAGAGCTCAGATGGACATATCAGAGGAACAGCCCAAAATCCAAGCACATCACAGCTGTTTGCTCAGCTACAGGGTGCACAGCTGAGGAAGTGGGGAGCACACTCCACACCAGACTAGCTGCAAAGCAGTGAAAAACCACCTATCACCAAAGCACGAATTCAAACAGCTAAGAGAATTTTATTAAAGATTGGTCCAGTCCAAGCAGTCTGAAAACATCCATATCCAAACATGATCAAAAGCCGAGGTGCCACTTCACTCTGGAGTCTTCAAACACCTTTCTTATTTTTTTCCCTGACAAGCAGCTCTGCTCTACAGCAGCACAGAAGGTTTGCAGAGTCATTCTCTCAGTCTGTGACAGGCAGAAGGCTCATGCTAGAAAAGTCTAATTCACATAGTTACATTAAAAATGAAGCAACAACATTTCAGGACAGAAGAACCAAATATGAGACAGGACCTGATCAACACACAGCTACCACTACTGCAGAATAATCAGCATTCCGATAAAACTTGAGTAAGACAAAACAGGTTTTGGAGCACTACAGCAGTCACCAGTAACTCAAAGTTTGAAGAGCTACATTGACCACTTCCCTGCTGAATCTGAGTGGGAAGATAGGGATGTCAGACACATCTTAGGACGTTTTCTCCTTATCTCTTACAAGGATGTTCACTGTAAGTGACTGTGCATCTGTTTATTTCACTTAGTACAATCGTTCATATTCACATATGCCCAACCAACACTTCACAGAATGGGGTGTTCCAGTTAAGGGACAGCCAGGCTTGAACACCCTCAGCATCATCTTTCTGGAATCTGCATCTCTATGCAAAAGCATCTTTGAAGATGTAAATAAGTTTAGAAGCAGGACAAGTTGTCAAACAGTGAACCCCCCTCTAGCAGCCAGTCCCTTGTCCTATCTGACCCTTACCACAAGAAGCCCGTATTACCCTGTTTGAGTAGTCAATTCCCTGAATAGGTCTGTAGCTCAATTATTAGCAACTAATACATCGGAAGTTTCAGAAGGGTTTGGTCTTTGCAGAAGCTCAGTCCACATTAGCAGAGGAAGTTGTCATTGCCATTTTAGTCAGGCTGGACCCACGATGATGAGAAGCTCAAGTATTGCTCAACAGCAGAGCAAGTGCTAGGCAACTGCACTTCTTGGTCAATCTAGAGGTACAGATAAAAGTCTTCTATACGTTGCAAAGTCTGACACTTCCTTCCACTGCTATTACCTCTAACACTACACAGGCACAAAGATGTTTCAAGCACCTGGTTTGTACAAAACTGCTTTGTAAAGCATTTTGAATTACTGCTGCCTGATGCTCGCAGAGTAAGGCTGGCAGTCAGAAACAATCTTTATTATCAACTGATACAGCTGAAGACAAGCCCTTGGGCACACAAATCTTCCTAGAGCTAAAGGAGGCTAAGATAGCTGCCTGACTAGGTTAGCATCATTGCCACCCACATATGTTTGGAACTTTGCTTCTCCGTAAGGACAGACTGTCCTTGCACACTGAAATTAAATTAATTGTTTGGTACTGAACTCAATCAGCTGAGTTTGATCAGATTTTTTAACTGCATACAAGCTTAATCTTCGCAAGCTATTTAGGCTGAAGAAAGGCAAATACTTGCACAGAAGTTCAGTTGATCTATAGTACACATTAAGAATAGCAATTCAGGGCTGTAACACATCGTGAAATACAATCTTCCAGAGAAATTCAGAAGTGTAGATGAAGACTCCAACATACCAGCAGAAGTATGACGATTTATGCTTTTGCTGAAAAAGTCCAAAATACCAGTTTCAGGCTGGTGTCTGCACCTTTTGGCAGGAGTTACACGCAACAAAGACCCTAGCACGTACACCACTACTAGAGACTTTGCTAAATCCTGCTTAACTTAATCCAAGTTCTGGCACTGCCAGAGCTGGCAGCACAAAAGTAAGGATGAAGAGGCCAGATATACAGAGCAAGAAAGGGAGTAACAGGGCAATGCAAATCCGGAGGCATCCAGGACATTTCCAAAATCAAGTGAGGTTATACTAGAACTGCAGCTTTGAATCACTGCTCTAAAGCCACCATTTTCTACAGTACATCAAATTACATCTAAAAGAACAGATGGAATTTAGCAGATTTGGATAACCTCTCCACATCCCTGTGTCAAGGACAAATAATGTTATTCTGCCATCTTTCCTTCCCAATACCACATCCCAGAACAGTGACCATTTCAGTATGTTAATCTTTAGGTTTTCACATGACAAGTTTAATAATGCAGCTTTATGAAACACTAAGAGCTTAAGCTGCTATTCGTTCCCTGAATAGAAAAATATAGCTTTACAAGAAGAGTAGAACAAATTAATTTTTAAGTTTAGCTTCAGAAATAGTATTGCAAGATGAGAAGTTTTATCCCCCATTTCCACATCTTTTCCACCCCTAAAAAAGTCTGGCACAATCTTAGGTCATCCTCTATGCAGCTACTTCACTTAGTGACAGAGGACCTCCACTGCAAAAGCGGGAATACAACTATTTTTAAGAATAAGGCAGAAGAATAGAACTCAAACATTATCTCTTAGTTATTTTTTAATATCATTCCTGTTCTTACTCTTGACTTTGAGACCAAAACAAATGATGACTAGAATAATAAGAAAGGCTGGATGTCCACTGATCCAAGCAGAGACAAGATAATTTATTCAAACTTCTCTTGTGATACAAGAACTAAGCAAGCATCTAGGAAAGAAAAGGAAGTAGATGAACCAAACAATAACAACAGAACAACCAAAGACTAGTTGTCAATAACAAAACTCCCTGCACAGGAAATAAATATCATCAAAGAAGGTCTGAAAATAAGATATCACCAATACAAACTGCTGAACTGTGTTCTATGAACACCATATCAGTGGTGACTAGAATGTGTCCACCTAAGCAATATTACAAATATGGCTGAGCATGATAATCATTGATAAGCAAGGCATGTACAACGAACACACCGTACCAGTTAGCTGATTAATAAGCCACAAACATTTGTTACTGAAGGAGGCTCTGGTGCTGTAAAGCACCAGTCAAACAGCAATCTGTAAGAGGGAGACAAGAATCGTTAGTACTTACCAACCCAGTGACAACTGTACATCAACAATAAGAAGAACCTGTTACAAAGTCGCTGAAGAGACCTGCATGAGACTGCAACTACAGAATGCAATCCCTCCAGCCATAACTGTGGGAATAAAGCTGCTGCTAACGTACCTCTAAAAAAAGTTAGTGTCAGGTGAAGGATTTAATCAGCTGTAATACATCTACTGTGGTAGATACACCTACCCATCCTGTACTGGAGTAAATCACAAGTTATATATGAAGTTGGAGAATGGAGCAGACAGGGTCCTGTCACACAGTCTAACAAGCTGGCATCTAGTATGCATCAATAAAAGGAAATCTAAAGTTGTTGCAAAACGCTAGTAGCAGTATCAGGACCTAGGAGCATAAGTAACAGAGGAGAAGAGCCTCATTCAGGGGGAGCAGCGTGACCTGACAGCCATCAGCCAGAACCCACCTGGCTCTAACACACACAAATCCCTCAGGAACCCTGCTCCGCATCAGCTCACGACTGCTTCCCACCTCAGCCCTGACTCCCTGCGAGCACAGGCCGCTCACACCACCGCTTTTTCTCGCCCTGTGCAACCCCACACCCCCGGGAAGCGCTGGGCAAGGCCGGCAGCACACCCCGGCCGCACAGACCGAGGGGAGACGCGCCAGCCACGAACCGGCTCGCAGGTCGCCACAGCCAGGCCAGGCCGAACCCCATACCGCAGGGATACCCCCCCCCCCCACCAGAAAACAACACAGAAGGCAAGCCTGCTGCAGAGAGCAAACAGAAAGAGGGCGGCTAGGCAGGCACGAGGAGCGAGAGAAGGGAGCACCGCTTACCGCCCTGACAAACCCGGCAGCGGCCGGACGCCCCGCGCCCCCTCAGAACACCGGGAAGCAGGGAGGGAAGGAGGCCCAGCCGCCACCCCCTCAGCCTTACGGAAAGGGGCTCCCAGAACGCCGCCTCACCGCCCAGCCGGAACCCGCCGCCGCCGGCTCCCACCCGTCTTCTGCCCCAGCCCCGCTACGCGCGGCCCCTTAGCAACCGCCCTCGCCCTCCCATTGGCCGCTCCGCCGTGCCGCTCCCGCCCGACTCCGCGCGCAGATTGGCCAGAAGGCGAGCTGAGGGTGGGAGCGTGCGCCGGCCGGGCCCGCGCGGGCGTCATTGGCTGGTGGAGACGCAGTGGGGCGGGGCACTGCGGTTCTGTTGGCTCCGGCGCCTCTCAGTCAGCTGGGGGGGCGGGGCTTGGCGGCGGCCGGCGGTGGAGCGCCTGTGGGGAGAGGCAGCTGCCGCCGCCATGACAGAGCGGGGCCGGGCCGGGCCGGGCCGGGCCGCGGCGGAAGGAGCGGTGACGCGAGGGTGAAGCACCAACCTCGCTGCGGGCCGCTCCCTGCTGCCCCAGCCAACGCCCCTGCCGCGGGGGGGGCGCAGCCTGGCGGGCGCGCGTTCGCTCCTGAGAGACTGGGGACTTTGATGGTCCTGAGGGCCAAAAGCCTCTCCGGTGTGACGCAAGCCGCTGATAATCTATCGGTGTGCCTGGGTGCTGAATACCGGTCACATAATGCGACGTTGCAATCAAAAATCATTTAGGAATGTTACCATAAAGCCTTAAAAACCGTGGCTGGGCCTTCAACGCGCTGGTTTTATTTTGCGTGGGCTCCCAGGCAATCTCTCTGCCACCAGCCTGGCACTGGGGTGCAAGCTGGCAGCACCTCCTGGGCTTCACCAGTGGGGGTGGAGGGGTCTTCCCCCAGTGCCTCAGAGGCACGGGAGCACCCATCAGGTTTCCTCCCACCAAGCAGGATGTGTGACAGGGACAGTGAAATCTGCCCAGAGGTGGATGGAGCCTGCCACATCTGGAAGGCGCTGGAGGAAAACAAAGTAAAAAATGCCTGCAATGCGATGTTTATAAACTTGCTTTTCTTGTAGCCTCCCAGAAGAGCCACATGTTACCTTGTGAGTAACATCAACTGTTCCTAGCTATGCTAATGGTTGCTTTATATAACTGGATGGAAAAATCCTTTCCCTGATTGCAGACATTTTGTTTCCTCTGTTTACAGGGAGTTGGAGCTTCCTACGTAGAGAAGACTCTCAAGGAGCAAGTCACATTTTCCAGAGAGTTATGTATCTGGAGAGATGACTAACTGCTGTAGACTGAGTCATGGTGAAGATGGGAGATCTGAGGGAGGGCAGAGAGGGGACTGCTGAAATGATGGTGACAGAACAGAAACAGCAGCAGCCCCATGGCAAGTGGTCCTTCTCACTTGCTAAAGGTGTGATTCCACACCACTCAGTCAAATAAGAGCTGGATTCCTTATCTTCAGCTTTTAATTAACCTTGTGAAAATACCCAGGGTTTATGGTGGTTGCTAAACTTGTCAGCGATTCAGCTGGGCTGAGGTTTGGTATGTCTGAAGGCAGCTGAGTTATGCTTGTTTATGCTTGTGATCAAGCTACAAGATAGGCTTGGTAGATAAACTTCCGGTATCAGCCTCTTAACTAAGTATTTGAAGAATGTGTTTGATTACAGAAAATTGCAGTCCAATTGATAACAGGTGTACCTTGGCTCCTCACCATCAATCGAGGCAGGAAAACACAGATCCAGGCAGGAAAACGTACCAGGGCCAGAGCTAAGCCTGCAGGCAAGGCTTTTATTTTAAATCCTTGAGGCTCTTGGAGATTTCTCTGACCTGAGAGAAGCTCAGCTATTAAAAGAGAGCTTTTTAAAGCACATCTTCACAAAGGAAAGCAAATTACACTCTTAGCTGCCCACTTCTTGCTGAGAAGTGAAACATGGGGTGGTCTTTCATACCAGGGGTGCACAGATACATCAGTGAGGAATGGCAGCTGAGAACCAGAGGGGACTAACACTGAAGAGGTGGCAGCACAAATTCACAGGTGGCTGTGGAAGCCCAACTCCTGAACAAAGTGCTCATGCTTTTTGCAAGAATAAGGGATGTGGTGGAAAAGGTGCTGCATCTGCAGAAACGGAAAGAGGAACCAGTGCAAGTCGGTTTGCATTTTGCTCTGGATAGTGTTGGGAGGGGGGGGGGTTCCAGCTGCACCTTCTGGTGCAGGAGCAGAGATGGTTGGGAGGGAACAAGCATGTTTTGTGAGTACAAACCTGGCTTTGGGCTATTAAAACAGCCTGTGAGCTGTGGCTTCTAAAAGAAGCTGCCCTCGCTCTGAGCGTGCGGGGACTTGACATTGCTATGGCTGAGCCGGTGTGCTGATGGGCGCTACAGGGCTGGCTGGCGTTGGGAGCAGTGGTGTGTGCTGGAGGTGGAGGTGCTCTGGCCCAGAGCCAGGCTGTACCACTCGCAGAAAACAGCTCACACTCAGGAAATGCCATCTGAGCACTAGCCCAAACCATCCTGTAAAGGAAGAGGGTGCTGGGAAGAGCTGAGCTTCATTCCCAGCCTTGTAGGGTGGGATTTGGCAGCTCCAGCCCAGCAGGTGCTTCTGTCCAATGTTGCTGCAGAGGAAAGGGATGGGGGTGTCCAGGAACGCCCTAATGCTTCGGAGACAGGAGGATTCCTCTTTGAGTAGTGTGGCTACTGCAAAAGAGGCCAAATCTATATGCTGGAAAGTATAGGCACAGGAAAAGCACACAGCTTTGCCTTGTGCTTTGGGCAGGCACTTGCCTCTGTACAATGAGGACAAAAAAAGGTTGATGATAATTCCATGTTTTTAAACCCAGTGATTGAAAAGGTACCAGGCAGAGAGAACTTGATGTGGTGCTGAGCCAGCCTGAGACGCCCCCGTGCAACACCGTGGTGACAGTCACCTTTTGTTCTTCACATCCCTCTCTCCTTTGGCTGTTGCTGCCACAAGGAACTCAAACTCTTTCTGCTTCATTTCCCCTGGCCCAGCTTTACTCCTGCTCAGCAAAGTCACTGTGTGCTGAAGGACTCCCAGGGACTTTGCACCTCTGAGGAAACCTTTTTGCCAGAGGAAACACTGGGGTGTTGATCTCTGCCAGTGTAGCAGGAGCAAAAAGGAAAACATCTCTTACGACAGGGTTTGATTGCCAGCTGAAAATAAGTGAAGCGCCTGTCAGTGACATGTGAGCACAAAAAAGCTTTGCAGATGGAAATAAAGGCAACGCTTTTTCCTTTCCGCCTGCTCTGCCTTCCCTGCAGTGCCAGCGAGGCATTGGCTTGCAGGCTGCAGAGCTGTGCTGTTTGAGAGCCCATTGGATCTGGATGTACAGTGCTCTTTGGACTCTTACGTATTTTCTGAAAATGGTGTCTAAAAGCATAATGGGCACTTTGCAGATCTCTAAATAGACCAGCCTCAGTCCTGAGGAGCTGACGACGTAAGGAGACAAGTGCCAGGGATGGGAGAATGGCTGCATCATACAAGCCAGCCGGGGAGGTGGCACGTGGCCCACCTGCTCAGTATTTTTCCATCACATTCTCATTCAGCTGCTCCTTGCCAACTTCCAGCTCTGTCACCCTCCTCAAAAGCTTCTGCTCTGGGTTTATTTAGCATGCTATTTATTTACTAATTATAGAACTTAACTGACTAACCTCAGCCCTGCTGAGTTACTGCTGTCTACCTCTTTGTCCCTTATAGACCAGAGGCTCTGGTCTCTTCTTATGGCTGAAGGCAGTAGCTAGAGACTTTCTGACTCTTTTTTTCTGTTTGTTTTTTCTACCAAACCCAAGAGGGCTCTGACTGCTAATACAGGGAGCTTTGCCGATCATTTCAGAGCAGATGGACTATTGCATTCTCAAATTCTCTAGGCCAGAACAGAAATGCCAATGAGCTGAGCACTTAACAGGCTGTGTTCCGCTGCTTCTACCCACCAATTCCCGACAGCCGTCTCACTCCTTTTACCCCACATCCAACCACCACTGCTGGTGGGAGGAAGAGGTTTTGAAAACCACTCTCTGGCATCAGCAGTGCCGCCGGTCATGCTTCTGGGTGCTCTGTGGCACTCAGACACTGCCTGGCTCCACAAGCAGACTCGGTGCTCTCAGGGAAGGGTCTGTCTCTATCTCCCTGGGATGAATCTGTGCCACAACACTCCTGAATTTTCCAGGGGGTCCAGTTAGATGAAATTCCTACCTCCTGCACCAAAAGCTGCCAGGCTGAGCAGACCTGTTCCCTGCAGCCACCTCCAGTGCCACCTCATGTTCACTCGCAGCCATTTCTGCCCTTTTATCACATATTTTGGTAAAGCAGGACACAGCTGCAGGATCCAAGCAGTGCTTTGGTGTGGCACCTGTCCCTAAAGCCATCTGCACGAGCAGGGGCGTTACGTGCAGGGGAGGCTGTGTGTGAGCAGCAGGTATCTGGCAGGCAGCGAGAGCAGGGAGAGGAGTATCTCTGGTGGAAAGCAGCGTGGATTGGACCAAATTAATGTAGTAAAGCCAGAAGGATGTATGAGCTTCTCCTGGAGTGTTTCCAAGATGTCATACTGAGTAAAGGAAACTGTTTGTCTTCTGTTTAATTCTGAGTGGTCTGTCTGACATTTGCCATTATACTGTGTTCCTGAGGTTGGAGTTTGGAAAGACTATGATTATCCAGCCTCAGAAAGCCAGCAAGGGAGACTGCTAAAGCCACGTTTTTTTCAGTGGCTGCTTGTGAAACACTTTCTCGGGAAAAGTTGCCATAGAAGTAGTGGTTCATGAGCAGAATGAAGGGTTGCAGTCCTGCAAACTGAAATGCTTAGTGAACCAGTGGGGTTATCAGCCTCCTATAAAAATCCAGATTTTAGTATTGCCTAAGGAATGGGTAAGAGAGTCTTCCTAGAGAGCAATATTTACGGAAACAAAGTGAGTGGAGGCAAAAGCTACTGCCTTGTGCCAAAATAGTGGGAATTGGGACAGGTCTGGGATGTAGGGAGCACACAACTGTGTTTGGATGAGGGTGAATACGAAGGAAACAGTTACAGTTGTGATTTGGAAGAAAGGGTGGTGATGTTATGGTGCAGAGAGCCAGAGTTCTGTTTCCCGAAGGCATAGAAGGAAAGAGGGGGTGAGAGGAAACAGG